GAGAATCATCCTTAAATGCTGTTCCTACGCTCGATTCCGCGGGATTTAAAAAGAATACGAGTAGTGGTGCTTCTAGCACCCGTCGTTAGAATACTAACTTCCGTGCACGTTCTCCTTTAATACGTTCACTATCATGGTGAAAAGATCTCAGTATAGTACGATGCTAAGAATTTAATTTAGTTAAAGAAAGAAAAAGGAATTTCGAATACCACTGAAATTGCAACGATATATCAAAATAGCATACTGTAGTACTACGTTGAGAAATTAATGTTTAATAGCCTTGATATAATCAATAACTCTGTCTGGCGTAGCAGACATGGCTATTTCTACTGTGCCAATCAGTACGGTAACGCGTTGACTGCTGCAGTGAAAGTAGACATGTATAGCAACACGTATTAACATTTTAATTATTATGGATATGGACGGTTAATTTTCACCTTGAAACTTTCAAATTGTTATCTTGCATTTGAAAATTAATCATTCGTATTAATAACTACAGTTTCAACATGTCTGACTAAATATATCTGTTTTCACTGTGACGGTTGACTTGTTAATCGACGATCCTTGTAATATCAAGTACCTCGTTTCAAGAGCTTTCATTAACATACTTCATAAAATTAGTAATTTCCAAATTGCGATTGATAAGTGTTACATAAAAATGGACTAAAGGATCATGAGATAAAAGAGTCACGAATGCGCGACACCGCCCGTCAGTGTTAATTAATTATTCAATTACATTCGAGGCATCGATCATTGGTGATTGTCAAGGCTGTCAACGTGTTAATTACCAAATTGGACGTATGGTTATCTCTGTCTACGTCGAAACAGAAGGTTTGCTCTACTGTTTTACAATCGTTCTGTATAAATTTGCACAGCATTTGAAATCGGCATGGCCTACTATAGTGCTTCAGCATCGAGGAAACCTACATTACGAATGGATTCACCACTTAAAGACAATAAAAGAATGCATGTAGACGCACGACCTATTTATCTAGAAACGCTACCTCGGCTACGTGCTGTAAGCCCTTCCATCAACATGTACGTTCGCGAGCTCTTGTCCGATCGATTCTTTCGACTTTTCAAGATCTATTTAGATAAGGCTTATTCATCGGGAACTTCGCCAATGGAGGAAAACACGCTATTTTGAAGTTTTCCCTAGTTTCTGTTGAATCTTTTATTTCAGCGCTGTATCTATTCGGTTGTGGAGGAAGAAATAGTAGATATTCGGAATTCGGAACGGATCTCTCCGATATTTTCAACTAATCGATGTTTTCGAGTCGCAGAATAGCGAGGAGAGGGTTGATCGATCAAAACGATGAACCGAAATTAGAACAAGATCGCTCGCTGTCAAAATGATCTATTTGTAGCCTTATCGCGCTTTCTAAGCCACGTGTTCGAGCACAGCGATGAAACAAAGTGTCGATCAAAGCGTATAAGATAAAGAAGCTTTGCTCTTTGGTCAGAGAGGGATATAACACTTGCTCTCTTACGTGCTCTATTGCGAACGACACAAGTGTACCGAACTATACCCGTCTAAAAATAAATTATCACCCTGACTATGTGTCGTAATATTGAAATGTTGCAAGTGTTACTTTAGGAACATATCGATTAGTTGGCTGCTATGATATTCACGAGCTTTCCTCGGGACGTTAGTAGTAGGCATCGCGAATCGGTTAATTTCAAACGATTGTCACTGCCTCAGTACTGTCAACGGGGTCGTCCGTGCAATAAAGAACAGCTAATAAAGCGATAAGCGTCGCGTTCTCGAATTACCAACGGACGCGAATGCATGCACTCAGTTGCAGCTCGCTGCATGCTCGCGGTTACGTAAAGTAAATCCTCTCGTAACGAGCGAATGCGAAGCGTGTTGCGATCTATGGAATATTTGAAACCGTCTGACACGTTCCTGTACCGGGTACACTTAATACTGACTGATTAAAACTACGATAAATCATCGATTAGTCGTCCTTGGTGACAAGCTGCTATTTTTGCCGGTCAATGTACCATGAAATATGTATTTTTAGCCATCGCTCCAACGAGTTGATTGTTCGAGGACGAATAGTATTCTGTGTAACAGAACGACAGTGTTGTCGTTCAATGTACGTTTCATCGGAATTGCACTGCCATTAGCGAGAATTGCTCTCGGTTTGAATATGAATTGTATTTTACGTAGCATATTCTGTTGCACAGGAAGTCGTTACCCCTATCATGCGAGCAGATGGATCATCCGAGTAAACAATCATGATTATTTCGAACATCACGTGCTCTAACAGCTGTTTTTCAAGTTTATCATTTATTTCCTTTTTTTTTTTCTTCTTTTCATTCTGTGCATACGGAATTGTTTACGCTGGCAGCATTAACGACGAGACGTTACCGCAAGCATTATGCAGCAGAAGCAATAAGTTCGCGTAACCAATGTTTTCCCGAATGATTCAAGAACGAAAGTTTAATATCTACGGTGAAGCGATAAAAATCGAGAAAAAGAGATACAGGCGGAATTCGTATAAGCGATCGTGTCTTTGTACGACCTCGCTTCTGTTTTTAGCACTTCAAATTTAACGTAACCGAATTCGCGCAAACATTCGCGATCAACGCTTCGTCGTATCTCGCGCGAGATCGCGCTGACTATTTGTAAACACTGTCGCCAACATTCTACGTATCATTTCACCGAGCTCTTCTGATAACGGTATAGAGGATTTCTAATAGCATTCCAAAGCGAATACTATCAAACGGCTCTGAATCGCTGGCAAACAAGGTCAGATAAGACACACACTCGTGCGAATCTGCAATACGAGTCCTTTTTTCTCATTAATTTTCAAATGACTTCGAGTAAACACCGCAATTACATCGTCAGTTTATTATCATGTTTATAAATGTTGTTTGATGTTACATCATTAAAAATTAAAAGTGAACAATTTCTTACTTTTCGTTGACGATATGAAGAATTGAAAACGTTGTGCGAAGTATCCTAATTTTGAGAGATAATCATCATACCTGGCGCCACGAATTTAATTTCATTAATATATTCATAAGAGGGAAGATGAAAGAGGATTCTAAATACCACGAATGTTTTATTAATAAGAAGCTGAAATTCGTGGCAGTTGAAGAGTTAACGCTGAAATTCGCTTGGAATTTTCTTGCGATCAACTAGCGAATTGCCTCTCAGCTTCTTAGAATACCGAAGCTGTTATGTAAAGAACATCTCTGCGAGCGCTTAACAATACGGTCCCGCGGATACGTGGAAACTCCTGTGCATGACTGGTCGCATCATTTCCGAGGCCATTTTCTAGACAAGCCCGAGAAAAACGTGCGACGCGAAATGTCGTTGTCGCTAGCTATCGATGACGCAATTCGCAACTATTATGAAACGAGCGACCGAGGTGCCGGATGTTATTAACGTTCATTATGACAATCAATTTATGATTTCGTTGGAAATAATTTTTTCTTCAACCGGACGTTTGTTTCAATTTGAAACGGCAAACCGAGGAACAGTTCACTTGGCGACACGCGCGTTAAACGTCACAAAGGTGTGCCTGTGTCGCGTATCGTTCGCTCGTCTTATCGGCATGCCACGATAACGTGGTTCGGTTTGAAAAATTTGATTACGATATCTCGAAGCTCGTACACGACAATTTCAAACTACGAACTTTCGAAAATGAAACTTTCAGTACACTATTAGGGGTGTGCAAACATTCTATTCGTTTCTTTAAAAAATTTAAGTAGACCATAAAAGGGCAACGAGTAAACAAAGAATCTAAATAAATACGTATAAATAATTTGCAATGAAATCATGCGAATCTGTAACACCTGACGCGAGATGCGTCTTTAAATTCCGTGCCAAAATTGCACGTCGATACTCGAGAAACTTTGCTCTCTCAATTTCGAACATCGAATAAGAATCGACGCTGAGATTGCTTGTCCTCGCGGTAACGAGCGTCGCTAAAATGCTATTTCGCACGCGATCCATGGAAACGTACCAGTACCGGTAGCGTCGGGACGCGATTTCGACGGGCGTCGATATCTCGGTCCACTTGGCGCAAGGCCGACCCATAAATCGCCCCACGACACCGACTTCGCGCTTTCCACCCGTCGAAATGTGCCGTGAAAACGGTCGTGAATCGCGAGCACCCGTGTGCCGACGTTGGAAAATCGTTCGCGAGATTAAAAATGGAGAAGCGATAAAATCGGGAAACTTTTACTTCGAACGTCCTCATTCTTTGTCAAGGGAAAAGGAGCACCGGTTTACGGTGTTTTATGGCGTCGCGGTGCTTTTGCTTTCACACCCTGGTTACGATCTACTCGCTGAAGCAAGACGCGACGCGACACGACACCGGGAGCAAAAAGACCGAACACGCCCCTCTAGAGGTGTAAAAACCGATGTTCCGCTTTTACCTCGTCTATATTGTGTCACGTGGACACAAATAGCACATTGCGAGGTAAACAGCAAATGGATGCCGAACGAACGAGCTACGGAATACATTAGCTGGTATAAAGACACGCACTTTTCGAGCTACCTAGACGTCAGCTGGTTTAACAGTAAAGAAAAAAAGTCAGTGAAAAGGACTCATTTGTAAATTTCCAAAAATATACTTTCGGTATTGATAAGTAGCAGGTCGTTTCAAAGGTCTTGGCGTGTTTCTTAAGAGTCTTTAACATAACGGTTCGAGGTTACGTCTTTCTGTGGTTAAGGTTCACCAATTTTGGCAAACCATTAAACAGGAATTTTTCTTGAATATGTATTCGCAGCGACAGGATGCGAACGCGACAATAGGTCTTGATCGAGTAACACGATTCATCAATCGAAACGGTGAATTCCGAAAGTCGACCTTCAGACTTCGAATGGTGATTTCGAATCTCTAGAACAACCATATTGCTCGTCTTGGAATATTCCTTTGAAAAAAATGTCGCCTATTAAAAAAGTGGCTGCACGTGCGAATCGAAACGAGCGATTTTGACGATTCACGGGAATTCGATTCAATAAAAAAACGTTGGACGGAGGATAGTTGACAGTCGAACGTCTCCATCAATTTTAAGGGAAATCGGCTGATTTGTATGCGTGTGTATAAATAATGCATACGTTGGTCGCATGACATTTTTACGCAGCCGCGAGATAAGATCTATAGACCGACGAAACTAGCCACAGGAACGTCCGAATAACGCATCACTGGTCGTGTCATTGAAACACCATATTATCACCTTTGAATACGAGATTCGGAACAATCGAGTCTCATTTCTGCTTTTAAACAGTCAACGACTATAAGTGGTCAATGAGACAAGAACACGAGTAAACGCGGAGACCGACTTTATGTAGGCTCAACAAAGAGTGCCTTGTGTTCTCTGCTACCAGCTACGTCGCAGCTAAATCTACTTAGAGACCACTGGTACCATTGATCAAGGTCGCTTCTTTAACTCATCTTCTGAATAAAAATTAACGCGATCTAATGATTAAAAGAAAATTCTAAGAAGAAAAAGAAGAAGCGAATATTGCGAACAGCTGTTGAATCGGTATCGCGAAGGAGTGGACTCATTTCGCCACCAATTACGAAATGAAGCAAGCAGTCACGAATCAAGAATAGATTGCCTAAATAAACGGCTTAAGAAAACTTGTCACTCGTTGGATAAACTATATTCGATCAACCGATGCCTATTTCTTCGTTCTTGAAACAATTTAGCGTATAAATTTCAAGCAAAAATTCCTGGTACAATATTTTTTTTTTTTTTTTACAAAGGTGAAAGAAATTGGCGGTGTACTCCACCATGAAAGGTGTACAGGGAATAATAATGCAACTGCGATCCGTGCGATAAAGCCAGTCACCGCTCAAGGTCTGCCACTCGAGGAAACATATTTCCCTAGAGCGTGCAATACGCGGACGAACAGATACACCATTGTGTGTGCAGACCCGTAGCGAGCTCGTGCGAATCGAATAGCGTGTACATGTAAGCACCAACAGTTCCGTGCACACACAGACAAACTTATCACAGAGAACAGAACACTGGTGATGTAATCGGTAACGTAAACCGCGGGCGACGCCGGGTCTACCAGAGTCGGCCGATGGCCAGCAACCAATGGGAAAACGTAGCGAGTTCGTTCTTCGGCCCGTGTATAATCCTTTCGCTCTGGCCTCGTTCCGCGAGCAAGCCTTTTGATCGCGTTCCATGCCCGCGCCAGGATCAAGGATACCGCAATGAGAATTCGTTTGGCAAGCCTCGACTTTCGACCGACTATCCTATGATTTTTACCGTTCAATCTTTCGAAAGAGAGCCAGATTTCGTGGTCGCCCGTACGAACGTCTTTTACAGTTCGTAAGACGAGGCTCACACGGGACCAGTAGGCTTTAGAACGCGTCCCTTATGGATTAAGAAGAGATTGCTTTGAGAATTCACGATAAAGAAAGATCGTAAGCCGCTGGCAAACTGTTTTGGCAACAAACAGACGTGACTGGGACTAGGAAAGTTTGAATCGCGAACTAGAGTACTAGCTTATCGCATCGTGCTCCCATATGGACCCTGTTGGTACGTACTACTAGATGTCTGAAACGTCGGCGACGCACGGTCTATACTACTGTCGCTCGCACCGATAGCCTTGTATAGCGACGAATGGAAATATTTAATTCGAGATGAAATCATTTCACTGGATATTTTCATAGTTGCACTTCGTACTTGATACAATTTCTGATGGCATTAGAAAATACATAGACCGACCGAGTCTTGACACCGTTCAAGAAGCGGGTCACGTAAATATTTTCGAATGTTCGATATATCTGCTATCAACTTTATTGCATTCTTGGCACTATAAACGAAATCTTGTCGCTGAGATGCGATATACCGTGCCCGTTGCCTCGTTCAAGGCAACGTAGATAGGAAAGCGTCGTTTCAGGATATTCTCTGTGTACGTGCGATGCAGCCCGATGCAAAGAATTTATTTCCGAATCGATGCTTAAGGAAAGTTAATCGTGAAATCGATGAAGCTACTAACATCGACGAGGTAGCAATAAAACGGCAATTTAAAGGACGACATTTAACCCAAGGAGAATCGTTATTTGCACACAGTATCGCGACCGCGTTTTAATGCCTCTTTTTTTCCATACGATTAGAATTCATGCGAACGAAAACAATGAGCGTGCGGATTGCTTGCCACTCGCGAGACCGCTTCTGAAGTTGATCAAAGGTGGAGTGGCAGGCAGAAAGGCGAAGCGGTTTGAAGAGCTGGAAGCACGTAAGTCTGTTGGACAATGCGCAATTTGTCCCGAAAGAAACACGAGTACCAGCTTCCGTGTTCAAAAATTATACGTGACGGACGAAGGGGAGCAAGTATTGTTACGCTCGCAGCAGGAAATCAGCGATAGCGCTATTAGAAACGTGGCCATTTAAAACCATGGGGCTGACAATAGTCAGCGAAATTGGATAATACTACTGCGGAATTTCAGCCTCTCACTTCCTTTCACGTTACACGTTGCTAGTATCGGTCGAACGAATCGTAGTACATTTACTGGAATATTATCCTTGACTCGCAGCCTCGATTATTAAATACTATGGATTAAATGTTACGGCGGTAGCTCGTCGCGAAATTTTATCATCTCGAACGACCTCGTCGAGAAGATAACCGAGTTAGCGCTCCCAGCTGCCCGGAGCGAAATGGCGCATCCATCGCGATGGGGTAAGAACTTCCGGGAAAATTCCTTTCCACGATATCCAACGAAATCGAATAACAACAAACATCCTTGACCTGGTTCACTGGGTTCGGATGACATTAACCCGATCGTGTTGCCTTTTGATAAACGACGCGGTAAACAAAAGCTCGATGCAACGACTGTTTCGCAGATAAAAGCAACTTCTCCGTTTCCAGGACAGCCCGGGCTGTCGATCGATCGAAAGGAAGCGGTGAAAATAACGCGACCATTATCGACGATAGAAAGTCACTATCCCCAGGCCACGGATAAAATCAATGAAAGCGAGTTGCTGCCCATGTTCACGGTCAATCGCGAGTACTTTGAAAGCGCAAGAAGAATTGTTAGACCGGTAGAAAAAGCTTCGTGATCGATTTTATCAGGACGATCCGAGAGATCGTAACCGTAAGAGAGTTCGAAATCGGATGCGCATAAATCAGGATCAAGACACGTGGCATAAGACCTTTTTAAGGAAAAGCCAGACCGCTACGTTACTGCTAAAATAAACTATACCGTTCGTAAATCATGTTTTTTACATTTTCTCTCCTATTTTTACACGTTCGAGCCCCTCCTTTTCCGTCCGAAGCTCGATACACTTTCCCCGCAAGCGAATCAACGATTTCGAGCGATCGTCGTTCACGCAACCCAGTTTCTAGCCGTCAGAATCGGTGACCACGAGGCTACGTGGGAGACGGATCGGGCATAGAAAGTGATGGGGCGTTTCCGGCTCTCGCTCGAGTCCCTCGGTAGACGGACGATAACGAAAGGGAAGACGCGAGCCAAGAAGGGAGAGCGCGAATCGAGAGGAAACAAGGATGCCTGACAAACGACATCGACTGGCACGTCGTCGCGTCGATAGAAAGCAGCGAACCAACAACAGTTTTACCGTGATACGCTCGACTTGGCACACGTGTGTCTGCCAGCAGATGGTCGCTATTGTACGGAGCGGATCGACGACCGTCAGGAGAGGCTCGATAGAATCGCTGCTACTCGACTTCGAGACGCTCGAACGGCGAGAAAGGAAGGGAAAGAGAGGAAAAGAAGAGGCATGAACACGCGTGTATCGAAGAAGGAATTGACCGCGGCGAATAACCGAAGGTGAGCGGAGGACAGATAGATTTGCTCGAACGAGAGTGCAGCGTATAGGTAGGTGTTGGCTCATCTCCAGGGCATTGTCTTTTTACGATGACAAGTAGCCCCGAGGGCTGACGCGACAGCAGAGGAAGAGCTCGCCTCCGGGGAAAAGAGGCTCGCTACCAAGCAAGAAAGGAAAACAGCTCGTCTACTGTGTAATGTGCCGACCTGGAACGTATCACCGGGAGCCATGGGTCAACGTTCGGACGAGAGGGAGATAGTTTCTTTTTTTTTTTCTCGGTCGCTTTTAGATCGTGGTATAAATATAAACGGAATCGGTGCACGGCTGCTGCCCTGCCGGACTCTGACTCAAAGGAAATAACGATGGACACGATAGATGCGCGTTCACCGATGCAACGACCACGCGACACAAGCTCGTCGTCGTCGTCGTCGTCGTCGTCGTCGTCATCCGATCTAACTGGGATTTTTCAACACAACGATGGATGGTGTTATGCAACAGCCAACGATCGTCGTGTTTCAACGCGCCGTGAAATGCCTGTCGATTGCGTATTATCGTTGCACACGCGACCTCGGTCAACCCGCGGATCATAGACTGTCGTCGATCTCCGAGTGAAACTGCTCCGCCGTAGAGTGATTCGCGAACGTTGCGAAATCTTATCTATTCCGTTCGTTAGCGATTGTAATACAAAACTGTGCTTTTAATATCTGCGTAGCCTGTCACGTGTGTGTCATCGGGTACCGCTCAGTTAGTCACGAACAGAGAAAACAACAACAAGCGGTTAGTGGAAAAGTTTCGTTGGCAACGCGAAAATCTTCCGCGATTGATTGAACCCCCTCGCGCCCCCCGTTCGGATTGGCAGAGCGGAAGCGAAATTGCGATCGACGACCGAACAAGCGACGGAGAAACGTTCGATTCTTCAACGTGACCACCATGGACATGGAATTTGCACCTCTCGGCAGACAGGCACCTCGCCAGGAATTCGCTTCGCTGGCTGAAATATCCGGCCGCCACCGCGACGCTACGTAGTAGACGGCACCGATCGTGAAAGTGTACAACCGCGTGTTGTCTGCGCGTAATGCCAATGCCTGGCTTATTCCACTGCGCGTCTTGCGCATGCGGTACTACTACTTCGCTTATCTCAACGTTTAGGGGACAAGAGACTTGCTGGCAGATAATAAAAGGTTCATTGCCCCTCTCATCCTACCAATTATTTCTTCTTTTCACGGTGGACATTGATATTCGAGCGAACGAATTCGAGCATATCCGTTCCATTCGTTCGATATAACTCTTTTAATGATTAACGTAACGTTAGGATCTCAGAATTACAATCAATATCTTGTTTAAGGAAGTAGGTGATATAAAGTTGTAAACAAATAGTGAACAACATATTTATATGTGAAGAAATTATTTATGGAATGACTTCATAATTAAATACCAATAGAAACAATAATTTTCAATATTCGATAATATTCAAGCAATAAAAACAGAACAGGTACTCGAGGAAAGTTCCATATACACTAGGCGAGCCAATATCGCACGAGCGACTTGCTTGGCACAATTAGACACGGGCAAAAGTGCGTTTTATGAATATTGGCGTATTTTATTGGTCTCCACGGACACGGTATAGCGCTTGACGCGGTCCAATTAATTTTACCATTATATCCTGATAACTAACCGATTACCGTCGCTCGCGTACTTTCGTTCCCGGTTGCAAAATCGGTTCTCGCGGATTATGTTACTCGTACGACTATCGCCTCGAACGACTATGAAATTGCACAGCGTTTGCAATTTCTTCGTGGAACGTTGGAATGCGCGGAGCGTACGATAGATTAGAAGCAACGAAATCAAATAATAGAGGAGAAATCGATTGATCGATCGTTTCATTGAAAATCATTCACCTTCGCCGTCTCTAATTATCGAGCTCGAACAAAAGAGCTCCTCTCCGTTGCTCGTTTCTGTGATATTGAAAAAAAATGTTGAAAGCGAAATGCGGGGAAGTGGGCCATTAGAACGGAAATTAAAATTGTCCTTGTCCAATCATGAATGCTCTGTTTAATACCAGAACCAGCAGCGTTGAATGCATACCTACTTTTATCACGCCCGTCAGCGGGGAGGATATTTGAAACAGTGGGCAAACTGCTTTTAGATTTAATTAACGAAATTTCATTTACTCGCGCGTAATTTTCAACGAAGCTACGATCGATGAGGATGGAAGCAAAAAAAAAGAAAAATGAAAAGCACGAGGAGGCAGCAGTTTTCCGCACCATGCCCCGATTATGCTTTCTATTTTCATCGGGTGATTCGCGTTGTCAGCTGTCGCATTGGCCGCACGTCACTTTGCAAATATTCCGGGACGTGAGAGCGTTCTGTGACGCGGGCGAACGGGCGATCGCGCGAGGACGCGTGCTCGTTCGTCCTGGTACGGCGCGACGCGGCGGCGCGGTGGTTTGTTTTCAGAAGTCGAGTGGAGAACGGCGACCGATTGGCCGTGGTTGTGGCTAACGGTAACGCACACTCGCGACCGGTTCGGTAAACGTACCGAAAATATTCGCGTGTTACGCGCGTCCGTGACCCAAAACTGTCCGTCACTGGTGATCCTGGGGATCGGAGCTAACGAGCCGTTCGTAGCCCGGTGACGCGAGCTCGACGAACACGGCGCGGCGTGTCGATTAAATTAGACGAGAAGCCAATTAGAATCCGCTGCCACTTAAGCTTCTCGAGAAGCGCGAGCTAATTGCATCGTACCCGCACGTGTCCTTTCCCGGGTATCGTTGTTCCTATCGCGGTCTCGATTTCCTCTCGACGAAAAATCAACTTCTCTACGCTTCTTGCAAATATCGGCTCGTTGTTTCGAGCTCGCAGTCGTAGACACGAGTATTCATAACTTTGTTTCCACGACGAATCTGCAATTCAACGTTGCAGCCGGAACGGGGTCAGCCGCGGGAGCGGAAACGTCGATTAGAATTACAAAGAAGCGGTCGTTAGTTAACGGTGCGATCGTGTTTGTCGCCCTTTCACGAAGTACTAACATCCACGCTTTTCATTACTTCCATTTCCTTTCAATTGAAACTCGTTAAAAAGATGCTTCTCGCTGGACGCTCTCCTTTTCCTCTCTGACGTCCGCCGACGTCACAAGTTGCCCACACTGGAGTAGAGAGTAAAAAGTTGACGCCATTCGACGAGTCATCGCCTAGTCTTTTAGTTTTCGCGACATGCCAACAGATTATGTTGAGTGGATGATTGAAATCAATGGTTATAAGAAAAATGCTTTCCTAGAGCTGGTGTACGCGATAGACAGACCTTGAGTTATACACCGACTCCTCTATTTATGCGCTCCCACGAGCTCGGTCCAAAAGTAGGACACTGCTCCTATAGGTTCATTAGGACGATCACTCGGTGTTGCATCTTGTACGCGCAAACCAATCCAAGTTATCCATAAAAACCGTGAGTGTTACTTTAGCACTGGAACTATCAAGTCTGTCAAGATGATGCTTTTCTAACGCAAGAACCGTAGGTCGATTGTTCTTTACTTATGCATCCGAGGAAGTTCACCTTAAAAGTGAGCAAAGACAATCGATTCGAGTTATACTTGGAAATATGCTAATACATGGTACTCGCTGCATCGTTAACTTTGTTTTGTTACGTTCGTACTTGGATACACGGTATATACTTACAGCGAAGACATTATTATCGGTCTTGTTATTACGACTGTCTACGGAATTAAACAGGAAAAACATTTTCCAAGATAAATCGCCTACATTCTACAATATTATCTATCATTTGTTTTCGCCAACATGTTTCAACGCGGAAACTGGCGCAGAATTAACGCAGATTACGTCGGATCCTAATCTCTCGACATTTCGCTGTCGCCCGTGACGAATTACACCGTTTCCTGGTGTATTTTCGCTATCCACTTCCATTCCAATTTCATCCATCCTCGTTAAATATAAAACGAATCCCTGAAGGATAGTCGAGAGAGTCGGTGGCAATTTAAGAAGTATAATTAACTGGCTATCGAAAGTCGAGAGACTCTCGAGCATCCGCCACCCTGTCGACAGATCGTTTGCACATATTTCCAAAGAAACTCTCTCGCTCTTTTCTCTCTTTCTTTTCGCTGGATTGTGCGAAATTGCAGCCACGATTTGCGAATACACACGAGCGTACAATTACCCGTACTCTCATGTTTCGTAATACATATTTGTATAGAGAAGGGAAAGTGACTGAAAGAAATGAGCGGCAGATGAAATCACCAAACCCGTCGTCGGCGAGAATTTTTCTCGAGAAATTCAGGTACACCGTAACATCTCGAATACAATGTGTTCGATCTATAGAACTATTCTGGAATAGTAGAATTAGGGAAATCGATCGATCGGTATTGCGAATAGGCGAGGGCCTATGGTTGCTCATGCGGCACACCGATACGAACACTTTCACCTGGACCGATGTAGATCCAGAACTCTTCTGGATCTCGCGTGTAACGTAATAATTTAGAAACCGGCGCGGCGGTTAGCTGGAACGTAGCTAACTCTCCGTTCCCTTTTTATCCGCTCGCAAAACATGGCCAGCGTGCACGGTTACCTTGCTCGAATAAAACACAATTCACGAGCGAGCGTCCCCGATTAACCCGAAGCGTTTCGTGGAACGATGTCGGGCTCGCGGATCCAGGGAAGCTGCCAGTTCTTGTAGGCGAGATCGAGCACACGGCCAAACTTGCGAGTTTTCCGAGAAACCGCGATAATACCGACACCGGTCGCCGCGAATCGAAAGATGTAATTGACACAGATAACTGTACGCTCGCCATGCGGAGGAATGTTTTTTGCGGCGATCGCTTGCGGTGAACGCTTCGATCACTCGCTGAGCCGGCAACCTGCGACTACCGATACACAAAGAAACCTGTAATAATCCTATCCATGCCGATTACTTTTGTTCAATCATCCATTCAATTAGTACCAGCAATAACTTACGTTTATTACAGGCTATCGTGTGACGATTTTCTACGCAACGTTAACCTCTCGCAATCACTATTATATTTTTTTTTCTGCAGATTATTACCACCTATGTTGTTAATTAAGCGATACCATAGACACGATCGTATTTATATAGCCATCGTTTTTTTGTTCTCGCCAAAATTTTCGAACGACTACCGGGTTCGATCGAGAGAGCAGACGGGACGAAATTGTGGATGCTGTAGGGAGGTGCGCGTGCGCCGCTAAAAGGGGGTTCGCTCTTTATCGAGGGCGTAACGCGAGACAATCCGATCTGATTACGTCGCACGGTCCTCTACGAGAACTATACATCAAACCGGCCTGTTACCTGTTCCCGGGCGTCGCCAAGTCAACGAACGGATCTTAACCCGTAAATGTCGCCTACAACGGAACCAGTTTCGTCCCGTTCGACGCGAGGCGACGCGAGCGTTCGAAGCCATCGATATACGAGAAGTGACGTCACTTGGAACGACAAGAGGGCTGCGCCACTCCGCACAGAGGAGAAGCAGAAAAAAGAAAGAAGCCATGGACGCGGGTTGGAGAGATCCAACGGGAGCAAAATAAATCGGACAGGGAGTGATGAGGGAGCCGCGAGGGATGGCGGATCGATAACACGACCTTGAGACACGTCGTCGCCTCGGCACGGCCGAGGAACCTCCGGTTCTCATAAAAGAGAATTACCGTTGGGAAGAGAGGACAACGCGTGGACATACACAAACGCGCAAGTTCTCTGGGTCGACAGCAACTGAGAGGAGGGAGAAGAAAGGAGGAGAAAGAGGAGAAGGACCGTGTCGAAAAGGGAGAGACTATCATCGCGGCATAGGGTGCACGAGAAGAGAAGAGAAAGAGAGAACAAGAAGCAAACAAATGATCGTGAAGACGGTGTGTCGTGGATATACATACGTTTTATTTCGAGAGGTACTTTCACAAATATATTTTTCTCAGCCGGCACACCGCCTATTTACGTAGCACGCCCGCGATAATGCACGTTTCCACCGATCGTTGGCATCGCTCAAGTTCGGCCATTTTGGATACAGTGACGTCAGCGACAGAATCCGGGAAACGAGCACAGAGAAAGGCGTGTCATCCGTCGCGCTATGCTCCGACCCTGCAATTTTCAATCTCGCCGAGCGCATCGATCAGCGACTATTCATCCGAGAGTTAAATCGTCCGCTTCACCCTCGGTAGGGTTGTATTTTTATATCCGCGTAGAGAAAATTGGCGACGCCGGTGTCCCAGCTTTGCCCTTTTTTCCTATTTTTCTTTGTTTGTTTTCTTGCAGAGGAAAGACAATGACGAACCATAGCGTGCCCAATTTGCAGTCCCGATCGGACGAGTTTTTCTTTTAATTACGAGAGAAAACGCACGAACGAGCATTCATCGGCCGACGTAACTTCCCATTTCCCATCGAAACGGGGAAACTCTCCGACGTACATCCGGTGCGTGCCATTGTGCAGCACTCGCGACCGTTTGCACGTTCACGGTTCGAAGCTCTGTTCTTTCATAACGTTAACGTTAACCTTCCTGCGATAAAATCTGAATGATTTTTAAACCAGGAGAACCGGAGTCACGCGCTTGGAACAACATTTATTGATTATTTCCTACGGCCACTCTTATAGTGGATTCACCCTGTAAGGGTAGACGACGATGATCTTTCATTGAAATAAACTGTAATTACTGCCAACGATATGATGGTTGATTGAAAGAGTTAAGATTGGCCGTAATACATTTACAAGCGGAGAAACAGGAAATTGGTAAGCGGGAAAAGCTGAATGGTTTAACGAGGATTATTTTCCTACGATATAGTACCAGTCACAAGCAACGGCCTTACTAACGATGACTCGCACCACTACACGTGGAAGATAATCACATTATAGGAGAATACTCCATAACAAATCCAATCAGTTTCCATCTTCTGTCAATTATCGATTTACTCTACGCGTGTAATGCGCGTTTCACGTCTGATCAATAGTAATACCTTAACACCTCTATTCAATTTTCAATTTTCAATTTTCAATTTGCAAACGATAAGTATTATAAGATAGAACGAATAGAAACAAAGTGAATAATATTGGCGTTAATACAATTATTCAAAAGATTTTGCAAGTATAAGAAATTCTGAATCAAATAGTGAAAGCTTGTCCCAAAATACGACTGAAAGAGGATCAACTGCCAAACCAATTACCCGGCAGAAAGGAGTTTGTATAAATGAAACGGAATGAATCACCGATATAGTTGGCAACGAATGATCGCTCCCACCACGTTTCCGCGAGATCTGGCAATGGTTTCGAGCCGAAAGGCAACAAAACGAAGAGAAAACAACGGGCAGAACTTTCTTTTCTGGAGCGGGCTCGCGAACCACCGCGAACAGATAGGCATCGGATGTCGCATCGTGATACCAGCCGCTTCCTCTTTGGCGAACGCGGAATTTAGATAACAACGCGTCTCTTCCGGTTGCAACGTTGACGTAGTGCGTACAGGCGTTGCGTAACGCACGAGAAGCGAGCCGAACAGAGCGTAACAATCTATCGGATGTACGCACGCCCGCTGCACGGGTGAACGTTCGGCAATGTTCGTGCAAACTCGCTTCTCCCGCCATTGTAACTAGACCGATTTATCGTGTGTGCGGGTGGGTCCAATAAAAAAATAAAAAAAATGTTATTTATTCCGTTCGATATCAATTTTCTTTTGTCGATTATAGAAAATTTGATGAGTCAATCATCGGTGACCTTCGCGATAGCCAAAGTATTAAATTCGCCATTTCTTCGACCTATACTCGTGCAAGGACGTTGGCGAACGTAGGAAGAGGCACGTTTCAAACAACGCTTCAGCTAACAGCGATGGTAGCGAAAACAAACGATCGGAAATGCACGAGTTCTCGATGGAATTTTACTTGGCGCGTGACAAAATCGCGTTACGTATTCAGCCGCGGTGCAATGCACACACGCCAAACCGTCTTATGCATTTTCATCGTCCCCTTTCCGCGAATGCAGCTCGCGTTCCGTTGATTCTTTCGCGCGGCCTTTAAGAAAACCGCATTTCACGCGAGCTCCGTTTCTTACGATTGTTCCGTAATGCTGATTTTTTTCTTTTTCGTCTTTCTCGATCTGTACGCTCGGTGCTCGCTCGATAAGCTGCGGTACGAACGGACGAGTGGCAAAGGTCAAATATTTCAAATCTTCTCGATGATGGAATTATTTAACGAGCCGGCTACCGTTCGCCGGCGTAAAGTTATTATAATTGGCCAGTCGGATAGAGTCACGCGAATGACGGTCATTGAAAACGTGCCTATTCGATTTGCGCGGATTCTCAGCACGCGTGCACTTTATTGCACCGAAACGAGCGTCCTCGACATACAAGAAGTAACATACGTGCACGGCTACGCTTAACTGTGAACACATCTTTTATAAACGCCTGACGTATCAGCCGATCCATCTTGGTAAGATCTAGATCACTGCCGACTTTTTTAGCTGTACACCGTCGAGTTTGTATTCTAAACTTAGCCGGGTACTATGGATTTGTTGCATTATCAAAAATCAGCTGACTGCGCTGAAGAAATCGTATCCGAAATACGATTCCCATATGCGATTTAAACACGGCTGAGTTTGCTCGATCATACGATCAAAATTGTTTTCGCAATGCGAATACAAAAATGTCTGATTACGTGTCTGAATAATCATGGGTCAAAAGGATCAACGTCCGTATAAAACATATGACGTTTCGATAACCACTATTCCGCTTTGCACCAATCTGCTGTATAATATATTAACAAATCACTAACTGTACTATCTATTGATAGAAACAAAAATGTTTCAGGATATCTCCACGCAGAAACCAGTCGTTCTCTCAGGCACACAGTCATAATCATTTGTAACGAGTCATAATTTTTTCTCCTCCTATTATTAAACACGTTGAATCTCGCTGTTTACAAGATTAACACTGTCGATACAGCATCGTCTCAGTAATATTTCTGAGATGACGTCAAAGACAAATGTCTAAAGGATCGCGTTAGGAATAATAAACGGTTACGTGCTTTTGCAAACACCAAGCATCTCTAAAACAGAAGTGTTTCGAGCAGGTGCGGAGATAGTATCTGTACGCACCATCAAAGGAACATCCGCAACACTATGTCTATACTATGTGGCAATGGTACTGAAAAAGTCAGTGTTTGCACGTTCCTCGTGATTATTTCAAATTAAATTAACAATGTTAAATAAAAGATAATTTTTAAAAGTAAAAAAGCGTAAATTGATTAAAAATATTCTGGATGCGATTTTAACTTATATATTTACGTGTCCTCCACTAATTACTCTAAATAATCCTCCTGAAGAATTTTCTAACTGATCCCAAACGAAATAATCCGTTCATAGAAATTTTATAGTTTCCTTTCCATACATTCCATCAACACGGATAATTGCATTCGCAACTCATTAACATCCCGCATTATCTGAAAACATCCAGTCCTTCCACGATCACTCGCTAGTAGAATGCTTTCTCGAGATAATTGAGCTGTCAGACAAGCAAACATACGAGCGAAATGATGTGCACCCTCTGATAAACCTCGACGATAGTCGCGTTATTTACAAACATGTTTGTAAATTTTCGCAGCAATTAGACGATTCCATGAACGACCGTTTCAATGAGGGTACTATTCGAATGCAAGTATCACGTCATCAGGACTTATCCAGAGGCCACCGTTTCGCCGTTTTGTCTTCGTCACTCGGTGATTTGCGAGATCGATTCTGAGTCACGGCCACGAATAAACTAGTCGTAAGGACCGCAACGCTTTGATCGCGAGACCGTTGATGTAACAAGGACCCTTGTTTAAGTTTCCTACTAGGACTGCAATAAAAATTGGAATATTCAAATAGCAATAGAATGAGGATTGGAAATTCTGATATTCGAGTACTGGTCGTCGGAATGGCGTCCTTATGAAGAAATCAGGACGTCGAGGACGAGGCTGGTCTGGCGGACTTGACGTTATCCCGTTAGCGAACTCGAGGTAACCGCGACACGCTGCATCCATCACCTACATACGCGCATAGATTGCGATCGTTTCCCGTTCCCGTTTCCCATCTTCGTGCTCGGTGAACTGTTTTAGCGCGAATCGTTCGTAAACGTCTCGCACACTGACCTGCATACATCTCGCGTTCAGCATCTTTTGCTCGTGTTGCGCGATTAACGTGGTCGCCAAAAAATCGCGGCTATCGCGTCCACGCCACGGACCGTGACTATCGGTGCCGTCCCAACCCCTCGAGGAAGCAGTGCTGACACGCTCGATCGACCAGTCAGCTCCGGCTAGCGCCAGACTAGATATGTATGTACGGTACATATATCGTCCCGTGCACGTCGACCACGGCGAAAAGCGGTGAAACTCGAAGACACGTCGAAACGCGTAAATTCAAGCAACCGTGATCTCGCGGTTTACCTTTTTGTGAAAGTAGATCTCTCTTTCTCGACGGGTCACCGAGCGTAATTCCGAGAGATTACGCGCGGCGACCGATGGTTGCGCATTCTTTCCAGCCGCGAAAGGACATTATGCATAAATGACGGGTGACAATGTACTGCCGCAGCCGCTATGTATGCTCGCTACGAGTTACGTACTTTCCCGTCGCGAGAAATTATTGCAGCGCTATGGTAAATGGGTGTGGTAAAGCGATTTCGCCTGCGTTCTTTTTAGAAAGATCGAGAACACGTATCGAGGATTGAATACACGCACACCTTTTACGATACCCTTTCATCGATTCTCCCTTCGTCTCAGAATCTCTTTAGGTCATTTCTGAGAAGGACCGACGGATCTACCTGTTCACGAGGGTTCCTGAAAGAATCGCTTTAAACCGTACGCTGCTTAACTTCGTATCCTTTGGAAACGAATGACATCATATCCTATTTTCAGTGACAGCAGATATTTAATATCAGACATCCGTTGTAACGGAATCTGAGATCGTATTGTTGGCACTCGGTATAAACAAACATAATTGTTATCTAGCGTATCTTATTCAACTACGTTACGAAGGAAATAAATGATACTTGAATTATCAAGGCAGCTCCCGATAACTGCGAGTTTATGCCGTAGACGTTTAATTTATACGCATCAAACCATTCGAGATGGAGGATGCAAGCGAACGAGGATTTTGTAACGACCTCGACTAGGATGATCGTAACCATAGTCGACTCGAAGATACGACATCCGTCAAGGTACCGAGCTGCCTCTGAAGACCGTGAGAACACAACGTGCGTAGAATGTGTGAAGAACGATAGCGAACGATGGCTCGAGTTGCTCGCCAGAGGAGACGCTTTCGTGAGATCGTGTGATGTAACGCGAATCTCTTCGGCCCGATGTCCGCGAGCGAAACGCAGTCAAGACGAGCCGCGGAACGCGCCTCGGCGAAATCCAACGCCTCCTTAAAATTCTACGCCGCTATTCTAGCGCGTTATCCGAAATCCGAATTCGTGGATCGAGGTCGAGCCGAGTCTGACTTTCGAACGTTCCGTAACGGGAGAAAGAAACGGGCAATAAAGGAGCGAAGCATTAAAAAACAGCGAAGAAAGAGGGGGATAAAGATACGCGATTTCAGAATAAAAAAGATGCGACAACATTGATATCTGAAATCGTGCGATTTCTTGTTTCCAAAATGTACGAACAGCACACGTACGACGGAAGCATCGTACCGACACGTGAACGAGATACAAACACAGACGAGAGAGTGATTTTTTTTTTTTTGAACCACAGTAACGCGTTGGACTTTCAGCTTTGCGCGATTAAGTTGGTGGTTATTGGAGCGGGAGTCATCGGTGTGTAAACACGAAAACGCTCGCTCGGCCGCAGTAGTATAAGCCGGTGCGTGCACGACTCAGACCGACGGAGATTTTGACGGTACCAATTTAACGCGAAGCTATTACGAAAATTCGAACGATACACCTCTTATATCTTCGCAAAATTCGAATACTCGAATATATTGCAGAACTAACTTATCAAAATCAAAGAGATAAATGTTGTTTACAAAGAGAAAAAAGAACAATGCAACAAAAGCATGCAAACCTTTCCATTCACAAATCACTCGTGTCATCGTCACGTAATTACTGGATGGAATTGCCATTCGTTGCGAGCCTCTATCGACGATCTATCTAGAATTTCAAACATCTGTTGTCTGCAGAGAAACGCTGCGAGCTCGCAAATTCGACCGAGCGAAATTGTTGAGGACGACTCTTGTTTTATTTTATCTCGCTTGTCGTCAACGACCTACGCCCGACGCGGGACGCTGATGGGCGTTGCTCCGCTATTATGTATGTCGGACGGGCTTAGGAATTGGGTCGACGAGGTGTCGGTACCCGAAGCAAACTAGGTCGTGTATGCATTCGCGAAATGCTGTTGCACGGTGAACGATATCGAGCAGGGCTCAGGTCGATTCGAAAATACTGCGCGGCTGGAGAAAGTGAATTTAGGCGTCGACGCGAAACGGCCACAGCGTCGGAATTTGCTCCGCGGATTATCTTATCGGAACGTTGCCTCGTGATACGCTGTCGCGCACCGCGAGAACATAAACAGAAACTTGCTTTTCGTGCGCAAAAACAAACGCCGATCGCGAATCGCTGTACGAATTTATTCGCGACGTTCTTTGAATTCCTTTCTTACTTGTTCAAATTTTGTTATTCACTGATAACGTTGAACAGCAATCGAATATGATACGTTGGAAACCGCGCAGTGGAAACAGTCGTGTAATCAGACACGCTATAATTGCAATTATTCGATTTAAGCTTTCTTCTTGATATCTTGTTTAAGTAATATAAATATTAATGTAATGTAACGTTGACCATTTTTTGTTTCTTAATTATTCGCGATACCGATTATCGATAGCCCCCACGACTTTCAACATGCCGAGGAATGTTCACAATAGCAACGTGCGGGTCAAACGGAGTTTAAAAAGAGCTTCAGCTGTTGACCTTGCACTTGACGAAACTATCCATCCACGTGGATGTAACCGAGCGATGACGACATCGATGATGTTGACGGCTCGTCCACGAGCGATAGACTTTCGTTTTCGTTTTCTTTCGAGAGGTGTTCGTCGCCTCGAGTCCTTGACTGCGTCCATTCCAAGATAAACCGCGGTAATCGCGTAGTAAACCCGCCCCGCGTTATCAGGTCCGTGCATTCGTAACTATCCTTCCTTGCTGATGTCCGGTAGGTGAGTCACCGAATAATTCGCTATCCTTCGCGTCATTTAATTCTTTTCATGGAACTTTCTTTCGTTTTGACGTTGCAGCGAGCGCTGGTGATGGCCGACCTTGCACACGGACTTGCTCCGTTCTCGGAACGAATCGACGGGTGCATCAGCAAATTGGGCAGCTGACACATCTGGCCCATGTTCGTCGACTCGTGGACGAAAAACTTGTTTTTCGACAGCTTGCTCCTCTGCTTGCTTGTTCACCGGCTCTTTTTTCTGTCGCTCAATGAATCACGCGTCTCGTTCTCGCTTGTGGACTTTAGCGTTAATACATAATGGTAGTTGGTCGAGAAGAAACGGGATCGACCGGACGAGCGAGCGAGACCAACCATGAGGCACGCTGACGTCCATCCACGATGACGATAATTGTTTGCCAAATTACGCGTTCTATTAGCGGCATCGATATTTTCGTACACGGACGCAAATAGTATTCGATTCACAGGAAGCGGGAGATGTCGATCCTTAATTCGACCATGAAATGACTCAAACAAGAATGCCAATTTGAAGGTTTTTCATTTTTTTAGAATGCCCGCTCTAAGTACCTTGTGACTATTGTATCATATCCTGATTTTAGAATTACGTGTCGTAAACACTTGCAACATTCAAGTTCCTATTTAAAATAGGAATATTGTGATGGAAATTTAACTGTTTCTAAAATGTGTTGCTAACTCAAAAAGGTTCGAAAACATTGTTCTATACCATAACAAAGATAATAATTAAATTGTAAGGATAACAAGGGTTTCAGAAACTTATACACGGTATACAAAGGCGAGAAAAGAATACAGAGCGCTGTGTTTGAATCTCAATACGGAGAAAATAATCTAGAACAAGCTAAACAATTTCCTGAGAAATTGCGCAACCATCCTTTATCTATTATTTACTCAAACATTTCATAATCATCGTGTATCGTCTATCACCTGAAAAACCCACTAGTTAGAGAAGATTCGCGAGAAAGACGTTCTTCGAAAGGAATTAAATCGAGAAGGGGATCGTGTAATCGAACCGAGAGCACTCGGTAATGGAAGAGTTTAAATGGACGGCGTTGGCAATTTATTTGCATCGCACGTGGCCCGCCGTATGCAGCGATCAGGAAGTTCCGTGGCACGAGATCCCGGAGTGCACTAGCATCGATGTGTTCCATCGTCTCTCGAACTCGATCTCTGCTCCAACGAGAACGAACACAGCCTTCGGGACACTGCGCGTCTAACTCGTTCAAACGACGCACGATGTCGCGCGGTGTGCTCGCAAAGTCGCCCGGAAGAAAGAGGCTCCGATGAGCAGGCCAAACTTCCGGCAGAAGTTGGCGCCATTCGAGACTCGGACAAAGATAGAGAGAACGAGAGCGATCGAGATTTCGGCGGGGCGAAAGAAAAATGGGTGGCCTTCGGGATGACCGTAGGCCAACGACACTTAAATAATACTACTGGCAAACATTTGTTCGCGCCTCTGAATATTTAATAACCGACACCGTGCGAGTTCTCGTAGCGATGTTTACGTTGACGAGCGCGTACGCTTATATTATCCGCCTCTCTCGATCCCCCAGTAGTGAATTAATTATGCAAGCGTCGTTCGCTGATCTAGCGGGTTCGTTTGCTTATACGACAACGAGGAGAGATCGAACGCTGTCCTTCTCCCAAACAGGATAACAACCGCACGCGACGATATTCAACAATAAGCATCGATTCATTTCGCGATATCGATCGAATTAGCGCGAGCACAGGCGAATCTTGTATGCTCTTAATTGAAGATACTTTGAGCACACGCGAGAGGTTTCCCCGCGCTGCTCCAAAGTATCGTGTTACGAAAGGTATATGCCAAGTGCACTTGTAAGGCATCCCCTGGGCTGTCCGGTGCATAGCGAAAGACTGAGCAAAAGCAGCCGAAGAAACCGCAACGCTTCGATGACAGATCGTAGAAGAACGAGTTCTTCTATACCTGTGCGTAGGTATAAGTGGAACATCGCAGGGCTGTGCTAAGGGAGCGTTCCAATTCGAGTGACTACTCCCTTGAAAGCAGTCATCCAGCGAAGCTGCGAGAAACTTCGATTTTATTGATAGGACACGGTTCGATGTACATCGCGTTAATCGAACGATCCTTAAGACTTGAAGGAGGACTGGTGAACCGAGCTAGACGGTGCACGGGTCTCTTTGTTTCGCGAACGATGCGTGCCGTTGGCCGTGGACGAGAAGAGCAAAGCGGAGAAACGAGCGAGCAGGGCAAGCGATGGTGCTGGAGGGGCGGGTCGAAGAGGGAGGTGGGGTAGAGGGGCAGCTAGGGGGTAAAGACTATATTGATCACTGACCTTTCCTGCGGCCAAATGGTCCGAAGAACGTGCCGTTCTTGCCGATGACGTTATCGTCGATGTACTTGAGCAGTTTCGTGATATCCTCCCCTTTTTTAGCGGTGATCGACTTGACAGGACGCAACTGTCCGATCCTCTGGCTACCGCTGGTCACCGTGCTGGTGACGGTGTTGGTGGTGGTTGTTGTCGGTGTAGTCGTGGTGGACGTGGTCGACGCGGACGTCGACGCTACGGCAGCCGATTGGGCCGCTAGCCCGGCACAACTCGCACTTGCAGCCGTAGGGCAGCTTGTTTCCTCCGCCAGTGAGTTGATCCTTCGCTGCGATCCGCTCCAACTCTTGCCACACGAGATCTTCACCGAGCAGCTCATTCTCTCATAGTAGTCGGGTACCTCTCAGTGTGCATAGTAGGGGAAACGACGATGCGACGTTCGCGGTAACGCACTCCTACCTTGCATGTACCCTCCGCGAATACGAAATTTACGCGAGGATGTTCGCTCTGATCAAAATTCTTCGTTTATCGAACGATATTGCAGCATCGTCTGGAACGACCACGAGAGATACTTGTCCCCTTTCGGTTTTCCTCCTTTCGTACACTACTCGACACGTGTTTATCACTGAAACGTTAATTGGAACGGTACGAAAGACGCAAGGGTTATCGTGGTCGAGTAACGATTTCGCGAACGCACGGAGAGAAAAAAAGAAGGCGCGCGTATCGCGTGCTAATCGTCCGTTCGAATGATAACGCGGAGGGAATATAGAGAACGAGCTAACAAGATCTCTTTCGTTTTTTTGTTATTGTTATTGTTATTGTTGGTATATATGCACTTCGTAGACGAGTTTTTATCGATTTCGATGATTTTCTCTCACGATAATCAGCGAATAAGTGTCGTGCGCTATACCTGGGATGATGCCTGTTGGATCTCAAAGTCACGCAATCTGGTTTCCGTTGTACGCGTTTATGTAACGTTAAGCGCGACGACTGTCGGGTATTACTGGTACTTTACTTCCGTAATATTCAGACGGGTTACGTGCGCACCGTAAATACGTACAACCTCGTTCGATGCTGAGGCGAGACTGAATGTCTAGCGGACGAGCTGCCCGGTTCGCCAATGACGTCACATGGCCACGCAGGCGCCGTCGAGTCTCGCTACGCTTCGGGGCATCTTCTCTCTGGGTCGAGCGTGCGGGCTACCGCGAAAACCTGCACCTTGTTTTTCCGCGAATCCTCGCACCACTTCCTTTTGAATCACTACAAAACTTTGCATTTCATTTTCTACCGACGAGTAATGAAACATCCCGTCGCAAATGAAGCGAACTGTTTCTACGATTTTTTTTAAGAGCTGCGATTGCTTCTTTTCGGGTGTATGCTTTCGTCTTTTCATTTATTTCAATATTCAATGAAACCGATTAACGGCAGAAAATTTACATTTCAGGTTTTCTAAAGAGTATTATTTCCAGCAGTGTTTTTATTAACAATTTATCCAATTTAGCGTATTTAACGCGTGCCTTTCCAGGAACGAATCTTTCTTTACACTCACCTGTTAAACCGTACATCTGCTGAGTTTTATATAAGCCACATAAATACAAAAAGAGATCTACTTTAGAAAAGAAACTTATTTATGGAAAGAAGCCGCCTCGGACCTTGCCATACCACCGCATTTACTGGGAACATGTAAATGTTATATGTCAATTTACATTCCAAGTTTCATGCGCTGAAAACGGAAAAGTAAATCAATCTTTTCTCAAATTCTAAATAATTGCCTGAACAGCGTGTAGACGCATCATTAACCCCTTTACACGTAAGGAAAACCTAAATAAATGGGAAAGTCTGATCGACGGAAATGCGACAATTTAATCGTACGTTCTCTTTTCGTTTCGTACATACTGGAGATAGATTTTGTGGCTCGTTTTTATCGTCAAAGATTCCTTCCATGTCATACGGAGACAGTTAACCGCTTCTTTTCTGTAATCTGCACTCGCAGTCGTCCACCATATGGTCAGACACGAGGAATATAGGTTACACCACGACACGTGTGTTCCCTCGTTAGGTGAAAAACGATTACGATCGTTAACCGTGAATACTGTACGTCAAAACGACCTACTGAAAAATTAAACATCAAGAAGTGGCTATGCATTGTTCTGGATCTGTCGCGTGCATCGTGTCACACGATGACGCACCGAAGAAAAAGTAATCGCGAAGAGTCGAAAGATCAAGAGTTAATCATCGAAGCGTTTTTGCGTAACACTGTAAGCTGCTAATAATCTTAAAGCAATTAACAGAAAACAAATCTATCCGAGGGTAATAAACGATCCACTTTTTCTAATAACGTCATCGCTGTAATTAGAGATCAGTGAAATCTCTCGCATAACTTCACGTTTCTTTTTCTACTTTCTCGGAGTGTTAGCTCAAGATATTCGAAGAAACTAAACGACATAAATTACTCCGGTTAGATCAATAAATGAGGAAGCAAGGGGATTACTTCCTTGAAATCTATCCGGTGCACACGAGCAGCGTGCAATATTCTTTTCATCGCGTCCAGCCTGAAAGCCGTGAGTAAAGAGGCTTTGCCTTTCACAACGATTTATTCGAGCCCCTTGTCATTTGCGTAAACGTCTTAATCTTAGAATATTTAATAAACCGTCACGTTTCGAGGCTTCCATCGTGTGTGTATATGCGTATACATAACATGTGTCTCAAACAGTTACAGAACTGTGCTCTCATTACCGTGTTCTCATTGTTAGAAAAACTAAGAGCCAGAGCGTAAGGTCTGACTCATGACACGCGAACAGCTCGGTACAAAGAAGTCTTGAGAAAGAGAATTAAATTCACTTTATTCTCATCGTTTGGCCGACAATCACGTTCCCGTTACCACTACACAGGATCAATACACGCGTCCACGGGTCGCGATAATAAAACAAGGCGAAGTCACGAGTCATCGGTAATGACTTTTGCCGAATCAACAGATAATGCAACATACATATGTTTACCCGTTCAATAGCTACTCTTCACGTGACCGTTTCGTGCAAATGTCTTCGGCAGCTGAATAATTAACGAGCCGAATAATACGTGTGTCAAAAATGATGTTGTCATCGTTGAAACTGGAAACGGGCTAATTTCCATAAAACGACGACAACATTGTAAACGGTCGTTGAACGACTTTTATAAACACCAATAAATTGGTAAACTTTTGTCCTTTGCAATTGGACGAATAGAAATACGAGATTGCTCGTGTTACAACGAGAAAGCATTAATTCGAATTTCACGATTCCTCCCCGTGTTTATCGTCCAAACGCTCCATGGTAACGAATTCCACGCGATTCTTGCGGCTTTCGTGGCTAAGCTCATTCGAGCTCTGGTTACCTTCGTCTTCGGACGGATCGAATCTGGCACGATGTTGAAGTTTCAAACCGTGACCAAGGAGGACTTGAAACTCGCCGCGGCCAGAGAGCGCCGGCGGCAGACAGATCAAGAACGAAAACAACGAATATTTAATCCTCGATTCAGGAAAATCGGAGTAAGTTCTGACCGAGCGTTTACGACGAACAAATATGTATGTTAACCTATTACCAATGTTATATCTTAATTGTTACAGATAGACAAAGAATTCTTGGACAAACAGGTCGCGGAGAAGAAGCAGCTTCAAGAGTTGGAACACGCCAAAGAATCCGAGCTCGACGAGAGTTTGATTCGTAGCAGTAAACTTGCCTTGTTGTTGGAGAAGCAACAAGAAGAGGTAAATTGTCAATTACGATGGGGAAAAAACAAGCGGTTCGATGATTAATTGTCTTCTGCAGTGTCGTCGTTAAAGATACCAGCGTTCGTTCGCGTTATCGTTGTTAGATCTTCGAAAGCTTTTTGCTTTACGATATCCCTCGGTGAAACTGGCACGCTACACGTATCCCCTTGTTGTGTTAATCTTTCAGGAGAGGAGAAACATACATAAAGAAATCGAACAATTTCGGCAACAATACCAGCGTGCCGAGAATCGTCGAGATTACGAGCTGTACGATCCGAACGCGTTAAAAAAGGCGTCTCTAATAAAAGATGACGAGGTTGGCTTCGGATTGCAGAAGTAAATATTATCATTGTCAACTTCATTTCTAGAGAACAAGCGACATTAAATATTTGATCATGCTGAACTATTCAGATTCGAGGGTGAGGCGGTACCAAAAGAACGCGTGAAGGCACAGAAAGAGCAGATGAGGTGGTGGATCGAGAAGCAAAAGGATGAACGTGTGCAGTTGGATAGAGAACGGCAGGAAGCTGAGAAAGCGTACCAGGAAGCCGTCATCTCCAGGGACAAGCGTGCCGTGGCCTTAGATCAGATGGAAGAAGAATGCCGTCGAAGGTTGAACGAAGCCACCGCACGATTTAATCGAGCCATGGTAAGGCTTTCTCCTATTTAGTCCTTCGAGCAAACAGCAAGGGAACAAAGCGACAGAAACTGCAAGAAAACGATAAGGATCTTATTATCTGACGATTCTATTTCCCTCCGGGGTAGATTCAATCTGCTTCGCGCTTGGTTGGAGAACCGCTCGATCTCATTTGTTCTAGTTAACCGTGGATACTCGCGTGCTAGTTGCTGCTCGTGGACGACGAGAAAGTGAGAACTCGGATATAATTAATGCTCGATGCTACTTCATCGCATTAATTCATTTAAAGTTCTCCCCCTCCTTTTGTTGCTTGCTCTCGCGGACGATCAACGACGAACCGTGAAATGTCAGAGTTCAGCATCGCCCGAGATCTCGTCTCTTTCTCTCTGCTCGAGGATCAATTCTGGCGTCGTATCGTCGTTGCTCGAAGCATAAAATGCTCCTCGTATTCGAGGCGAGCGTGGACCGTGTTGAACATAAACCTTCCTCGAAGGTGAGCACCGTTTACAGCGATCACGAGGTTACTATTGTCGATGAGCAAACTCGGTGACATCACCGGGCACGAGTCTCGGTAATAACACGTCGAACGCTCATCCTGTCGCTTCCTCGACTATTTCCAACACGTTCTCGTCCTTAACTCCATTTTTCTTTCCCTCCACCTTCGAATCGTCGCGCTTCGTTGAACGCGCGTCTTGTCCGAATGACCGGCTCCGTCTTTTTCTAGGCGGAGGAGCAAGAGTACCGCCGCCATTGCGAAGCCCTTCGAGACGAAGAGGACAAGAAGGCGGAAATCTACAATCACGTGACCGGGGACTTCCTGACGGAAGCCAAAGAGCAAGCGGAGAGCACTCGTGGACCGCACAAACCGTTGGCATCGCGGTACAAGGGCATGACCGCCGACCAGCTTAGGCTTTTCAGACAGGAACAAGTTCGGCAAATGAAAGAAATCGAGGTAAAAGGAACAGGAGCGTTGTTTTGCGCCGCTTTTTAACGAAGCTTGAAACGATGCCAATCGTCGTCGTGGGTACGAGCTGGAATGGGCTTGACCTAAGAAACAAAAAATTTGGCTCGCTCAAGGAAGTCTTCTATCTTATTTTATTTTTTGTTTTTTCGTTTAGAAAATGAAATTAGAGGAGAAGCGAATGAACGAAGAATGGGACCAGCTGATGAATTCTCACGCGGAGATAGCGAACGCGTATCAACGCGAGATGGATCAGAAGAGGACGTAAGAATTTCGTTTTTATGCCAAGAATTTGATTTACCGTGCCAAAATTGTATGTCCACATTATTCGGTTTCAGAGAGATTAACAAAAGGATTGCCGAAGAGAATCTGAAGCTTGCGAAACAGCACAAGTCGCATCAGGAGTACCTCAATCGAGAGCTATACAAGAACAAACCCACGGCAGAATTTTTTGAACAATTTAACAAAGACGCTCGTTAAGAGAAACAGCTATTATAAATGTAATTATTCCAATAAGAAGGCATTTTTAATAAACATTTTCAATTATAAATCATTCCCGGCAAGTATTAAATCATTTGTTATTTTATATTTTGCTCAAGAATAATCTTGCTGTTGTTATCATGAAGTAATCAATTTAATAAGCCGCAAATATTATGTAAACGTTATTTTTATATGCTTGATTAGTGCGCGCAATGACTACAGATGCGAAAGACTGAACATGCCTTTGTTGTCGGGGGGTCATGTTTTATGGGGTCTCTGACTCCCCAAGATGATATCAGGTTTGTATGCAGAGAGCGCCACCGATGCATCGGGGGTCCCTGACACCCCGGATGCCATTATGTCGATATACAAATTCAGGTAAGTATCCTACGATATTTTCTTCTAGGTCTTCAAGTAGAGGGTGATCCTCTCGCTAGAGGACACAAAGGATCTGGCGACAATGAATCCCTTGACCACACCATGAAGACACACAGAGTCGTCTCGGCCCGGGTAGGTCCCCAATACGGACCTCTTTATGGTGTGGTCAAGGAGTCCATTGTCGCCAGAGTTCCTTTGTGTCCCCTAGCGAGAGGATGACCCTGTATACTCAGGTCACAGGTAAGTACAAATGAGTTTAGGTATATTATTATACTTCCTTCTTTCAATGTTTTATACTCTTTCTAGGTCTAATCTTTCACTATTATAGGTCATATCCATTAATCTTGCAATTACCATTTCGCGATTTGTTTATTTATCTAGGTTTTATATTTTGCTATTCGTTCGTATATATCACTTGTCGGTATTACCTACCGTCAGTATAATTGTCGCGTACTTTATAGGCATCAACAATTGCTGATGCAATCCGCGCAATTTTTCCGCAATAGCCACACGTTCATTAATTAATATATAAAGAACATTAATTTAATGGGTGAAACTTACCTATATTATACAGCGGTTCACCCCGCAACCGATGTAATAGCGTATAGACAGCCTATGGGTCGCACATTTTAGCTCCGGGCTAAACTTCCAAAAACCTCTATGCTCCGAGTTTGCTCAAATTTTGGAAATAAATTCCTTTTTTGATAAAAATGATAATTGCGAGAAGGATTTTGGCGAAAATAGCAGATTTCACAGCATCTGAACCGCTTTCAAATCTGCCTCAAGTATTCCTGCCGTTATAATTGTATCGGTAAAGTAGAGAAGGACACCCAAATGATAAAAAATTGTTTCTCGAGTCGCCAAAAATCCTTCTTGGAATTATCATTTTTATTACTTATCATTGACTGTTGGTAAAGTTTTCGCCGCTCGCATCACCTTAACAGACATGGCGCTGCCCGGCATGCATTTGGTTATCGTAAGTCCAAGTGGATCTGTCAAAAGTGATATGAATTTTTATTTACACGTTGCGTGACACTTTAGTTAATAATCTTCATTATTATTTAAAACGAGATGGGTATTTTCTTTGCAAAGAAAAAACCGCCAAGTCGTGTTACAGAGCATGATAAGGCTATCCTGGTACGTTATTGCGCGAATTTCCTAACCTCAATCGTTCTCGTTATAACCTTCAATCAAAGTATTATTTATTTTTTTTTTTATAGCAATTGAAACAAACTAGAGATAAGATCAAACAATATCAACGCAGAATCGAACAAAGCCTTGAGAAAGAACGTTTACTTGCAAAGAAACTTGTACAAAATGGGCAAAAAGAGTGAGTATGCAGTTTTTGTACTTGAATTTTCGTCTATACCGCAGTTCACCAGAGTCCATAACTGCGACGCGCAGGTTGGAAGGTGGTGGGGGAACGCAGCGAGCTCTCCGCTAATCGCTTTCTACTTCGTTTGGGAGTATCGCCAATCAGGGCGAAGATGCGCACGAAAGAACGAAAACTGGTCTTTTCGTAGTTATGGACTCTGGTGAACTGCGGTATAAATGTTTGCGATGTATTAAATAATTATTATAAATTTTTGTTTAGTCGAGCTTTGCTTCTTTTGCGGAAAAAGAAGTTTCAAGAGCAAGTGTTATCAAAGACTGATGGACAATTGGAGAATTTGGAACGCATGGTACACGATATAGAATTTGCACAAGTAGAAGTGAAGGTTATTGATGGCCTAAAAGTGGGCAATGCTGCGTTAAAGAAGCTTCATGACTTGCTATCCATTGATGAAATTGAGAAAGTCATGGATGAGACTAGAGAAGGCATTGAAAAACAGAAAGAAATCAATGATGTGTTATCTGGAGAACTTACAGAAGATGATGAAGGAGAGGTTGAAGCAGAGCTGGATGCTCTTCTAGCAGCAGAAGTTAAAGAAAAGGCACCGGAAGTACCAGATGATGTAATCTTACCAGAAGTACCAGAAGGAGTACCAGAAAAGAAGAAAGGTATTTTATTAGAGAGGTCAAGAAGGTAAGGATATTTTAATTGATCATTTATTTCTATTTACAGAACGTACAAAAGAGAAGACACAAGAAGCTGTTGCTCTAGAAGCATAAAGTGATAAGTATCATTAGTAAAATTTTTACTTTATCTACACTTTACACAGGAATCTGTGTACATATGTACAGTATATTGTATGTAAGGCTCAGTGTGATTAATTCTTACATTGAGATGAATAGGATATAATCGAAAGAATAAAAATTATGTACTTTTGTTAATGGAGTGTTTGGACACTAAAGACTGTTTTCCATTATAAAATGTGTGTATGTACATGATTTTAGTATTGCGAGTATATGTTTTGAACCGATGATTGTGCAATTTAGCTAGTTGTACATTGCTTTTTCGTATATTACACGTGTCATGCCTTCTATGTACAAATACCTTTTTATTTTATTATTGGCCTCTTACATATAGTTATGTAAAAAATCCAAAAGATCGAAATGTTTTAATAAATATGGTTTATTTACAACGTGTTGCTTGCATCATTTATTCCTAATTCTTCCATAAATCATTTGAAATTTAGATACTAATTAACTCACTGTTTTTCGTATTATTAAACCCAAAACATTTGAATCTTGCGAATATTACAAATTTGCATAGCATTTTTTCCTTTCCACCTCCATTGAATGATAAAACATCCATGCGGAAACATGTCTATGAGTGACGCTAAGACGTTGTACGCATGCTCGAAAACAAGGCAGTAAAATGTTATATGTGTATTCTTACAATGATAGTACCACAGTATCGATCGAGCATCAAATTTTTGTTAAAAATTCAAAGTAAAGATTATTTGCGTTAACTTTAAGTCGTTCGTTGAATGATGGCCACTTCATTAGCGCCAGTGTCGGTCGTCGTAGGGTTTTAGTCAATAGGAATCTGACACTCCCTCGTCGCCCTGCCCAAGAACGGTGGGAGGTCTTATGCAAAATTTCCCCACGTCAAAAAAAAAAATTCCTTTACATCTCTGCTTTTCTTACATTCCTGCATCTCTTATATCTCTGCAATCCTTACATCCCTGCCTCCCTTACATCCCTGCATACCTTACATCCCTGCATCCCTTACATCCTTGCATCTCTTTTGTAAGCATTCCATTATAGCGCCTCCTGGCGGTAAAAAAAGGAACTAAAGCTTGCCGAAATTGTGGCCCTCTAGCGGGAAAAATTTGAACTAAAATTTCGACGTCGAATCAGCGCCATCTGGGGGCAGAAAAAGGAACTAAATTTTGCAAAAATTTAAATTTTAAATTATTTTTCACGAGACTTTACTTACCTTTACTTACCTTTACTTACCTTTACTTACCTTTACTTACCTGTACTTACCTTTACTTATTTTACCCGAACCAGTGGCCATAAGTATTTTATTTATAATATATTATTATATTTATAATATATTTATTATAAGGGTTGAAAGGATACAAGAGATGGAGGGAGAATTCAGGAGTGTAAGGGATACAGAAATATAAAGAGTACAAAGATGTAAGGGATGCCGAGATATAAGGAATGCCGGCATATACGAGATGCAGGAATATAGGGACTGTAGTGATATAAGGGATACCGGGATGTTAAGGATGCTAGGGAATGTAGTGATATAAGGTATACAGGGATGTTAAGGATGCAGACATGTAAGGGATGCAGTGATAAAAGGTTGAACCGAGGCCCATAAGTCATGTTTTAACTCATTAATTCCTCGTGCATAGCACGAGGCGTTCCGCTAGTATACATGAACAAGAGGTTGCAATTAACAAGTCAGCGTAAATTATTCGGAACTAGATAAGATAAACACTCCTTTAAGACGTAGTGTTTATTCCGACCTTATTCTATGCATCTTTTGTCTATTACAAATAAAATACAGCAATTCATAATTAGCCAATTTATAATTACTGACAGTGACAATGTTCTATAGACATTGAAAGAAAATTTGATCAAATAAACCGTAAATGCTTACTTCACATCTTATTGTTAGAAAGAACATCGTGTGACAACTCGAGCAATTGTGCTTAATCTACATAATTAGACAAACTTCGTAACAGTAGGTATTAAGTGTCGTGTGTGTCTGGTTAATATAAAAATTTCGTATCTCATTAGTATCTCTTGTTTTGAGGTCAAGAACATAACATAGTAGATGGTAGTAAGTAGGATAATATGAGATACCACGATTTTGAGTATGCTTTAACATTTCTTTTGCTTCATTATATTTTTGAACCCGTTACAGTAATTAAAATAAACATTAAATTCATGTTAATTTAATTTCTTTTTCTTTTAGTTGCATACAACTGCATACAAAGTTATTCAGCATACTTTGGCTGAAGTATCATGAGCGTCGAGATACCAGACTATTCTCAACCGAATAATTCTTCACCTTTTTTCGCATTCAATGAAATTCTTTCCGAACGTGATCGCAACGAAATCACCTTCGCAGACTACAGATCTTTTCGCGTTTCAGCGACCTCCTTTGTGCACAACAATAGTTGCATCCCGTGCCTTGTTCGCCGAGCTACGTTAACGTACCACAGCTGTGTTAGAAACTGTGAATCTTGTTTGTACAAAGGAGAATGTTGCCTGAATAGGCGATGTTCGATGTAGTATTTAACATCGTCTCTCGAATCTAGATAAGACCAGCTTACAGCGCCAAGAACAACGTTCAAACTGTTTTAACAAATCACATGGCGCCTGGTGTAATCGTTGCAGAGGCTCTAGCGATTAACACGATTTCAATGGTCAGGGACGATCAATCTGACAATCATCTTGATCGAATAATGATCAACTGTAATCAATTATTGGCAATAAATCCTTCGGGATAGTTGGATTTTGTGCAAATGAAGATATCTGCACGAGTCATTGACATAATGATCCATTACAATTCTAATTATCTGTGTAATTTCATCAGAAGACATTCTAAGTTTATTTAACACGATACATAACGTGTGGGTCATCAATGGTTCGCGGTATTCAACAAACCCACCTTTTTGATTATATACAGAATTCTTATAAAAGAAAGTAAAATAATTTCCAAGATTCAATTCTTTTACTATTAAATATAAAACGAGTTGTTTGGTTTTGTATTGATTACACACAGCTGCTGTACAAGTGAATAGCAGTTAAATTTAGTACACTGTAAGGTGGTAACAAAAATAAAATTTTAACGTGTATTTTCTTTACTTGTCGATACGAAAACAGTTAATAAATTGAAAATCCAGCAAACAATAGCAACGTGTTCATTTTTATCAATAAGATAATAATTCAACGCTGAAACTACAGCTTTTGTACTTTTTGTCTTCATAGTTATATTTGATCAATGTGTAAATCGTAGATTAGATATATTATAAGGCGTTTAATTCTAGAAGAATTTGTTACGTAAGAAACAGTGAAATTTACGTGAACAACGAAATTTCTTGAGAAAACGAACGGCGTTGTTCGAAGTCTAGGAAACACCGGGGAAATTCACGGATGCCAGATGCGCTGGCAATGATTTCCACGTACACACGGGTATGCGATCCTGCCTGTAAATTACAGGAAGTATCGCAGCCTCCTGATATTTAAAATGACGCCTGTACGGATCGGCGATTCCGTATTTAAAACCGGACGACCTTCGTGAACGAGAGAGACGAAGAGAAAGGAAGAACGGCCGAGGAACGGGATCCGTTGACTAACCTCCATCACGAAGCCTTCGCTTCTTTTCCTTTTCTTCTCGAGCCAATGTATCGCCCACTTTATATCCTCTGAACACGGTTCGGATGAACGACACACCGTGTGCGTCCTACGCTATCCATCTATTAGCTTATCGCATATTAAATATCAGATTCTGAAACGTCCAAACTCGGGCACCATTTTGTAGCATAAAATTGCTGTTAAATATCTGATAAAAATCAGAATTTTAATACAAATTCAAAATACCATAGCCTAATGATACAACAGATGACGCACCATATGCGTCTTGTGTAAAAATTGAAATAATCGGATCCTCTAAAAAACAACCTAGAGATAAGCAGCTAAGAATTAAAAAAGAATTAAAAGAAATCTTGCTTCGAAATTTAAGTGAAAAATGGATAACATTTTTCTTATCAGAAATATAAGATCATACGAAACGACAGAAAAAAGTACGTAATATTTAATATGGACATTGAATAAAAGGTAATGTAAGAAATGAACCATTTTGGTTTCACTGTGACGTTTTACGTGTCGAAGAAACACAAATAATCTACATCTTGTAATTATTAAAATAAAAAATTCGTTTCCTGATGATCCTTATCTGAAATGGATGAATTGTTTGATCGCTAATTTCAGAAAGTATAGCGATTCCATAATTAATCAAAAGTTACGTCAGTTACTTACATGTTGTATAATAATAAAAAACAATGTTAAAGATGAATGATTTAATATCTCAAAACCTGTTCTAATGCTGGTTAAAAAAATCGTTAGATGTGGACGATAATTGCTGATTTTACTATCAAAGTAACAAGTGACTCGTTCGGCTCTCCTGCTTCGGATGACTTCCGTATTTGGGATTTTGTAGCAACGTCTATATTTTCGTGCCGTCATTTTTAGAATACTTTAGAACGACTTTATCAGTCTGAAATGACGTTGACGGTTTTTCTTCAATACTCAGAAACGAGTCGAGAATACGTAGAAGTGTCAATCCTACCGTTTAGCACTAATTCCTTTTCTGTTAACGATGGCGTTACCGCGTCGAACGTGCCGCAAGTTTTGCGCGAAACAATTCAGACGCAATTTCGTTGGAAATTTCGTTTAGATAACGCGAAGTCTTTTCAAATGATTTACGAGTTTAAATATAGCGTTGACTGTTGTTTAGTTTGCCGAGCGACAAACAACGATCCTTCTTCGTTTCGAGTAGAAACATTTAATAGAATTAAAGTCATTGCTTTTGATATCAATGTTTGTCGGTTCGTTAAACACCTACCACGGTAATAATTCCGTCTAACAATCATACAGATTTTATTATTGAATGACTCCCTGTTAACAATGTTTTTGTACGAAAACAATTGCGTAGAATATTCTCTGGAGACGGAAAGGAATATACTCTTATCGCATTAGCAACATCACTGATTAAACATTAGGACGTTATCACGTTACGAGACGTCTTACATGTTGTTCTACGAATTTTGAACTTATTGTATTTTATAGGAGGTCTGACCTCCTTTAATTCCCTTTATCGGACAAATTGTACGTCTCGTTATCAGCTGTCGAGTTTCTAGAATATTACTGTAGATGACAGTGCTTGATGATGCAAAAATCATAATTATTTCCAAGGCAGGTAAAATGTGAAAATAGATTTATTGGTCCTTTACTTATCAGAAATCTATTAATAGGCTTATTGATACTATCAATTTTCGTTTAAAATTAATTAATTAATCTTATTTA